AATGATAATGATAGAGCGATTCGTAAATCGCTGGAATAAAAAGCGGTGCACGCCATGTTACTCGAGAGAGACTCCTCTGTAATCGTAAGGGAAATATCGATCGTGCCGTTCGATCGAGGATCGACGATGTCGGGAAGACGATCTTTGGGCATTTTTTGCTTTAAGAACGGTAGGGGAATGTATAATTGGGAGAAAGTTCGTCTAAGAGTTTGTTTTAATGTTCGATCGGTTATCATTTTTATTTCCTATCTATTATTATTACCTGAAAAAGATCTTCTGTTTGTTTTTTCGTTGACCGAATTAATTACCGCGATCGATCCTTCGAAAAATAGAAATGTTTCGTTTGGAAAAGAGAATTTAAGTTTGAAGAGACGTAAAGAGAAAGGAAGACAGCTTTCTCTCAGGATGTTATATTCTATGGAACAGAATTCTCGTCTTCTTGGCATCGATCGTGCCGTTAGATCGATCGAAACGCCTCGCGATCGACGTCTATTCGGCATACTTATCGTTCTTGTTGTACTTTTTCTTGGTAAAAAGAGAGAGAGAGAGAGAGGAAGATCGTGGCTTGCGCCGCGGAGCGACACGGTGGTTACCAATTTTGTTTTTAATTTGAAAGATTAAGTTTTACGTTACGATTATGAGGTAAATATAGGGGTGGAGGAGAGAAACGTGGTAGACAAGGAAGTGTTTGAACGCGACGAAGGCGAAAAAGAAGAAGAATGATGATGTAGAATGAAAGGGAGAGACACGGAGAGGTGGCAAATATTTGACGCGGCTCTCCAGCCGCGTTTTTCGCGTATACAAAAATGACACTTCGCGTTGCTGCAACGTTAATTTTATTTATATCGGGAGACAGTGTGGCGCGTATATGAAGAAACGTGCGAGTGTATTCTGAACGGTGTTTGAACAAATATTCGAAATACGATTTCTCTCGGCTTGGTTTCGGTGTAAACGCGTGTGTAAAGATATGTGTTTTCTTCTCGATCCGTTGAAATAGATAGAAACGATGATAATGCGGAGCAAAAAGAAAGAAAACAGTGTGCGAGAGAGAGAGAGAGAGAGAAAAGGTTGCTTGTGGATGATCAGTGTGTGAGTGGGAGGAAGAAAGAAAAAGGAAGAAAGGGAGCGAGAGAAAGATTAGAAAGAGGCGCGGAAATGGGATAGAAAATGACGAACGTCGAAACTCTGCCATCTCGAATGATTATTGAGCGCATAAACGTGTTACACGTGATGAGTCTTTTGCGAGGAGATGCGAGCGAGGAGGAGGGAAAAAAAAAGGAGAGTGAAACGAAACGGGGCGAAGAAACGCGAAGTGTGACGTTACGATGTATTTTTTTCTTTTTCTTTTTTCTCCGAGCGCGAACACAGGGTGGCAGGGGTTCGTGCTACGACGAGTTGAGTGTAACTCACCCTCTTTTTTGTTTGTATAAAAATTAATCGAAATTTAATTAGACTATTAATAACTGTTCGATTACTGTAAAACAAGAAAACTTTACCATTAATTATAAATTACAAAAAATCT